TGGAGGGCGGGGGAGGGTGAGGAGGAGAGCCAGAATGGTATGTTGGAGGCCATAGCTAGCTGGAAAATGGGGATGTTATCCAGGGTGTGGCTTATGGTACATAAGCTTTTAGACCCTTCTGAGATTCCCCAGGAAGTTCTACCACTGATACTACTAATGGCAGCAGAAACAATCACTACCACTTACTGAAAGTGCTATGTGTTTGCTATGGCAGGAGGTAATTTATTCTCTCAGTTCTCACAGTGGTGGCATTGCTGGGCCATTACATGGGCGAGGTAACTGAGGATTAGAGAAGTTGCATACCTTTTGCAAAAGCCCTCTACCCAGTAGGTGGCTGTGGCACGCACACACACAGGCTCCTGGTCTTAACCACAGCGCTAGCTTGCCTTTCCAGGTCTCTGTCGTCACTCCCAGAACGCACACCCATCATCAGCCCCTCTGCTACTCCCAAGGCTGTTTCCAGCTTGCATGGAGCCATTCTCCACCGTGACTCCCCTTTTCCATTTCACCCTTCACTGGATCATTTTATGCCTCTATTCCCTCTGCTAATTCAATCTAATTAAAGTATAACATAGAATAATTGCTTCCATTCCTATGCTCTTCTTTCCCCACCCACCCCAAGTAGAGAGCTGTATTCCCTTTCTGGGAGTGGCCAGTCTGACAAGCTGGGTGGAAACTGGGCCTATCTAGTTTCTTTTCATCTCATTGCTTGGTTTCTCCCTTGGCTCACAGCCTGATTTCCCCTGGATTGGAGGTCTGACTTCCATTAGACACTGAGGGTATGCGTGCCACTGCTATTCATGCCCATAACATCTGTTGACTACTCACTGTAATGAAGCTAGGAAGGCCTTCTAGGGAAGAGCTAGGAGTATTCTCAGAAGAGGACCCCAAGCAATTACCAGCAGGATTGGGGAATCAGTGCCCAAATTTCCTCCTGGGACTGGCCAGCCTTAGATCATCTATTAACAGTACATTAACATTGACTTGTTAGGCAGTGGCACTAACAACCCCACTTTTCTAACTAGTCCTACTTCTTAATTACATTAAGTTAATTGACAGAGAACATGAAGACAGAGAGAAGGAAGGAAGGGGTAACAAGGAAAGAGAGAAAGAGAAGGTATGAATGCTTCATTGTATTAATCTAGATTTGTGGGTAGATGAAAATCTTGAGCAGCAGAATAGGAGAAGGAGAACAGTGATTGGTTCCACTCTCACATGGTCCCAAGAACATAACAGGTGTTATGCTTTGGGGATGGTGTGGGAGAACTGGAGCTAAGTGTTCTGGACTTGGTAGAAGAAGGGATGGGATTAGGAGGCCCAAAGATGTAGTACAAAGCAAAGCGATGGGAATTTCCAACCCCATGATACCTTAGAAGGTCGGAGTCTTTTAGAGAATTCCAAAGTCTAATAATGCTGCCTGCTGTGATTTTGGCTATGGCTGGAGTGTGCCCCAAGGGCTCCTGGGTTGGAAGGTGGGATGGATGGAACCTTCCATAGTACCTACGGGGGACATAATTAGATCACTGCAGGTTCTGCCGCTGGAAGGAATAATAGTTATCATGGCATCCTGCTTAGTTCTTACAGGAGAGTTGTTATGCAGAGCAAGCCTGGCCTCTTGCTGGCAGAGAATCCAAGTCCCTGAGAAGTTAAGGGCTCAGGCCTCCCAGGATTCGAACACAGATTCCCCCTGGTTCAGGTAGCTCTGGCTGAGGCCTACATCTTGGGTCACATACCATTTATTTTGATCCTAATTGTCAATCATAATCTCTATACCTCTGAGTAATAAAACCACGAGGATCGATCTAGGCTCTTAATGGCAAGTATCTATGCAGCTAATGAGCTACGTACTGTGGGAGCTGAGTCTCACTCTGGTCTTATGAGAGGCCGCCTGACTTTGTGTGGGACACCTTGAGGTCAAGGGACTTGTCTGAAACCCCTCAGAGATGTAAGAAATATTAAAACGGACCTCCATCAGGTATTGGCACTCCAGAGACAATCTGGAGTCGAATGAACAAAGGCGGAAACCGAAGCTGTGGTAGTCAGTCATGCTACTCGCTATTGTAACAGTTGGATTCGAACCCAGGTCAAATGACTTCATTTTTTTTAACTGCCATATATTAAACTGCATCCCTTAAGAGGTCTAAGCTGTCTGTGCCTGGTGGATGCAGACAGATGGACCTGCTGAGCTGCTCTTGGCCCTCATCCTAGGACTCAGCCCCTGGTGAAGTCACCTGATTACCTGTTTCAGTACAATTTATGGCACTCCAGGTGACAGGCTGCAGAGCTCCACCGCAAATCCTCCTTAGATTTGGCTTCCTGATTGTAGCTCCAACTGGTGGGGAGAGCTTGGCTTCTAATATCTCACTTGCTCAGAGACAGCCTCATGGCATGAAACCCAAATACTTCCTGTATGCCTGGCCACTACCCAAACGGGTACAGACTGTCACAAAAATAGCGCACCTGACCCAGAAGATGAGGATAAAGGAGAAGGTATTCATAAACAAGCTATGTGCACACTTGGTGTGGCCAGGGACTGTGCTCTTTGAGGTAGATATGGATGAAAGAGTTCATCGTGTGCCTTGAAGTCTATTCCCTCACCCAGCCCCTCTTGTCTAGCCACATTTTGGATACATTGTCAAAGGGCAATTCACTTGGGGGAAAAGTGATATTCATAGTCAAAATGTATATTGTAACACCTTCTTAGTGCCCCTTAAGTCCCATTGACCAATGGGAATGCTATTTCCTGTTTTTTTTTTACACTTCATTGGGTCTCAGAGAACTGAGAGAGGGGGAGAGGGAGGGAGAGAGAGGGAAAAGAAGGCAGAGGGAGAAGAAGAGGGAGGGAGGGTAAGAGAGAGAGAGTGCGAGAAGAGAGGGAGAGAGAGAAGAGAGAGAGAGAAAGAGAGAGAAAGGACACTCTTAGCAAGAGTTCCTGGCCTGTTCCTTAGCTCTACAGAGTCTCTTGAAAAATATCACATAGCATGTGACATCCAGTCCTTCCGACCATTCTTTTATCCACTGCTACACATCTACACATCCACCTTCCTCTCTGCAAACATTCCTGTAGAAGTATTTGGAATGCTGTTCTCCAAACATGAGTATGATGTTACAGAGTGGGGTTTGGTGACTTATGCCTGTTTTCTGAATGTCATTTTTGAATTTCTATGGCGAGCATCTATCATTTTTTATTTTATATTTTTAAGAACTTTTAGCTGGGTGCTGGTGGCGCACACTTGTAATCCTAGCTACGGGAAGCTGAGATCTGAGGATTGTGGTTTGAATGGGGCAGGAAAATATATAAGATGCTTATCTCCAATTAACTACCAACAAGCCAGAAGTGGGGCTAAGGCTCAAGTAGTAGAGCACTATCCTTGAGCACAAAAGCTCAGGGACAGCATCCAGGCCCTGAGTTCAAGCTTAAAGACTGGCATCAACAAAAGAAGTTTTTTTCCCCTTTCTTAGTAGCCACAAAGAACAGGAGGGACTTTGAGACCCACCATAGAATTGAATCTGATACTACAGATGTATCTACCTCCATGTTCCTCACCCTCATGAGTGCAATCAACTTAAGGGTAGCTATCAAGTTCCATTTATTCTGATAGTAGTTTGTTCCCAATAAGTATGTGTCTTGTAATTTGTTTTAGGTCTGTCAAATGTTTTATTGGGAGAATGGGTCAGGGTTTATTTCCAAGACCATCTTATGGACTCTAAGCAAGGCAGACCCTTCTCCAGTTGCACCAAGATCCCATCTGGACCTGTTTATGCCTCAACTGTAGGGACCATAAGAAGAAGGTTAAAAAAATTAGGTGAGTTCAAGAGGATCTGGATGTTATTTGCATGCAATTAGCATACAATTTGTGTCATCTGTTCCCAAGAAGTAATTTTCAAGTTACAACTGCATCACTGCTTGTCTTCATACTGTCATGTGCCATTCACCTCTTGTTTCCTCCTTCAGTTCATTTCTTATCTCCTGATTTAGAGTCCTTACTTTTGCAAAGAAAAGAGGTAAAGAGAACTCTGGGAAAGGGGAAACTGACTTAAAGACACTGGAATCCTTGCAGAATATTCCGAGAATGGCATACGAGCCACGAGACACATTGTGAAAGCTACTGGGCCTCCAGCTCCAGGATCTTTCTCAATATGCAAAGTTATTAGGACAGACTCATCATCATTTTTATCCATCTTTGACCTTTATCCTACTTCCCCTATTCAGAAAAATGATGAACAACAGGGTTATACATGGTTGGCTGCTGAGCAACTGTGGACCCAATGTCCAAGTGGATGGAAGAAAACAGTTTTTGTTAAGGTCTGTACTTGGTTTCCTGGATCTCCAGGCATCTGGTAAACCTCTTGGCTTCTCTACTTCTTTCCCTTCACCAGGACCTTTCCTGCACTGTCTTTCTCTCTGCTGTCACACATTCACAGCAAATATAATCTGAGAGAATAACACACCCTCCCTACAGCTGAGAGAGTAGGGGGACTTGCTCAGTTGCTTCCCAGCAGAGAGTAGAAGTCTTTTTTTGCAAGGCATAATTTCAGCTTCCCAAGTCTGACCAGCTTCTACCCTGCACCAGTCTCAGACTCAGGCCAAGATTTTATCTCCTTCCAGGGCTCTATCTTGGGTCTGTCTCTCCAAGGAGCTGGCCCAGCCTGGAGGCCTGGATTATTTACACCTCTTTGGCTCCCTTGAGCAGCAGACTCTGTGTGCTTGAGAGCAGTAAATCTACCTCCTAATCACACCAAGCTGCTCCATGCAGTCTGGCTTGTTCTTGCGGGGCTGTTCATCACTCTGTGAGACAGAGGCTGTGGCCTAGAGAGAAGCCTCCGGGAAGTGGCTGGCCCCTGGTTGCTTCACTCCGGCTCCCTGCAAAAGCATGCAGAGGCTGAGCCTCTCTCTGGACCTCGGTGCAGCAAGTGCAGAGGTTTCTCTTATGACGGAACAGGTTCTGAGCAGAGGTTTTCCCGGAGTTTGGAAAGGAGGGATGGGTGTTAGCACTTACCTGTCTCTCAGACATGACATACAGGTAGCGTTGATCAATGGAAAAGGCCATGTCCCGGAGGATGGGGCTCCCATCTTTGAGCACGGAAACCATCTCGTACTGGACCCCACCATGGGGGGGACCGTCAGCTCGAATCTGCAAGAGAAAACGAGGATATCCTCAGCATCTACATCCAGCCTTCCTCCTGAGCTATTTTTATCCTCCTGGAAGGGTTGTCTTAGCAGACAAATGCTACCCCACCCCCACTACTCTGAGGACAGAAGTGTTGCTTATTTCAAACATTCTAGTCTCCATCAAGCAAGCAGTCTGAATGTGCTGGGTCTTGGATTTCTGGTGGTGGGTTTATTTGTGTCTGTATATATTCTCCTAGGCATAATTCTGACTATCCCCATGTGGTTATTCTGGTGCGAATCTACATATATATTTACAGCACCGTGTGATGTGTGTGTATGCAAGCAACTGTGTGTTTATGTGCACTAACGTGGTTAGAGGGCAAAGACAGCATCTATATACAGCTTGCTGGCCTCAGGCAGATACTGGGAAATGGCAGATAATTGTGAAAAACATCAAAAAGCTGGTCATTAGGAGACAAATTTCCTGACCTCAGGAAACTCTTTCTGGCCCTGGAAGTAGGCTTTGCTGTCTATAATTTTTCCTAGTGGGCTGTGGTGACCTAGGAATTCAGCCCATCTTGGGACAATACATCAGAAAGGACTTGGATATCATTTAGTTCAAGGCTTCTCAGTCAGGGCTGCCTATTTGAATGCAGGGAGTTTTAAACAATAGGAATACCAGGGCTAGATCCATTCACCAGCATCTCCATGGATGGGGCTTGGGTGTCTTCATTGGTTTGAAAGCTCCCTAGGTAGACTTAATGAACAGCCAATGTTGAGTAGCAATGTTGTAATCCAGTTTTCTCTGATCACTGTACCATTAGAGTCACTGGGCCTAACTCCAGAATGTGATACAAATTCTAGGTGATAACGATGCTGCTGGGGATAGGAGTTGAGAAAGACTACTAATCTAGCCTGCCTTCTGTATACACAATGCTGAAACTCTAAAGAGAGAGATCTCTAAGAGGTTACCAAAAGTTGGTGGTGAGGAATTCTTGGTGGGAACGTGTTCCATCCCCAGCTTCTTTTCCCAACAGAGCAGCTGATCATTCATCAGCGTTCACCATCCCAGCTTGTTTTCTCTTTCCACTGTGTATCTACAGGCCCTCCTGTAGGTCCAGCCCACCTCTTCCAGGAAGTCTTCCTAGCCTCACTCTAATGGCTAATTAATTATACTTGCACTAATGCCTTTTTCCCTAGCAGACAATTTGTCCTAGGATTATAATCAATTGATTTGCTCATTGTATATGTACTAGCCAACATGTATCGACTACCTACTTGAATTGTTCTCTAATTGCTTGAGATGTGTGAAAGTCTTTCAGCATTTTGAAGGTGGGGATGTGTGTGTGTGTGTGTGTGTGTTTTTCCTGTAACTCTCAGAGGACCTGTATGAGGCTCTGATGGAGGAAAGGGCATGGCTGAGAAATGACCATGTAAAGGCTACAAACTGCGAACCAGCTGATAGAGTATCTTAAACGCTTTAATGCTAAATCAAAATGAGGTCAAAAGATACTTCCTCTGGAAGATTCGAAGAAGGAGCCTTCTCCTTCATACTCTGTCCATTCTCTCTTGCACTGACCACCTCTTCTCTCTACTCATTTCTTTTCACCTCATTAAGAACTCCTGAGGACAAGCAACCATGACTCCCCCAGTCACAGGCCAAGCTTGGTGCCCAGTAACAATACCACACATGTAAGAATGGAGGAAGGGAAACTTTTTCAGGTCTTCCTGGCTCAGTGGGGAGGCCCCACAGAATTATTTATTGCCGAGTTGGGAGGAGGTGGTTAGGACCAGGATTACTATTTCTCCACCCTCTTGAGAAAACAGGCATCCTTGAGGGGCTCAGGAGAGGGTGCGTGTGGTCTGTACCTATTGAGGTGGTCTAGATTGAGAGTCGCCCTTGTGATAAGCTTACCACGAGCCCAAGTAGAAAGTTTTGGCCCTGGAGATCGCAGTGGCAGAGAACCTCATGCCTCGATTCCAGGAGAGGGAACAGTGGGCCAGAATCCATAGTTGGGAATATTGCGTTTCCCTTACTGTTTGGGAAGGTGACCTGGGGAAGTAGCTTGAAGTGAGTAGGGAACGTGATTGGAAACAGACCATGTTCTCCCCTCAGCCCATTTCTACGCTTGGTGCCTCCTCTGGTGTTGGACTGACTCTTCCTCGCACTGAACTCCACCCTGTGTTTTTCCTAACTCAAATGAGGGCCTCCTGCATGGAAGGCGGTTGTCTTGACAACCATCACCAATGCTCCTCCTCTCCAGGGTGGTGGTGGGGGGGTGGATTTTATTTAATTCTCCTACTTGGTCTCAGCAATGACATTATTGGGCAGAGACATCCACTCTCCACCCCTGGAATCTTTCTGACTGTGAGATTTAAGCAGAAGAAAGAGCAATGTCTCTATCTAGGAAATTCTCCTAAATGGCAATAGTTCCCATTAACCTTCAAAAAATAGCATTCTCCCTTGGATGGACAGGCACAAATTTCCAAAAGGAAATTTTAGTCACAAAAGTTCTTGCGTTATTTAATTTATTTTTTTCTCAGTCGTGGGGCTTGAACTCTGGGCCTGGGCACTGGCCCTCAGCTCTTCAGCTAAAGGCGAGCGCTCTACCACGTGAGCCACAGCACCACTTCTGGTTTTCTGGAGGTTTATTGAAGATAAGAGTCTCATGGACTTTCCTGCCTGGGCTGGCTTTGAACCACAATCCTCAGATCTCAATCTCCTGAGTAACTAGGATTATAGGCATGAGCCACCAGCGCCCAGCTATTTTAAAAGACAAAAAAAAAAAGAAAATGTGATGGTCATTACTTGTTGGGTTGGCCTCAGTTTTCTGTCTCCACCACATGGGAGGTGCTAGCTTTATCTCTTGCCTGAGTCTGAATATCTCTGTTTCCTCCTTCATCCTTTTACCTGAGCACAGCTCATCTCAGGTAGATTTAAGTCTCCTCAAGGCAGTGGCTGTGGGCTCGGGAACTTCTGAACTGGCCTCTTCCCTCAGGCCTGGCCCAGGACCTCCCGCCTCAGGAGGCCCGTTTGCCTTCTGCCAGTGGAGAAACTACCTGTCCGTGAGCCTAGGCACTGGCCTGGCTCCCCAGTATGGTCTGGAGAGTCAGGAGGAAAAACAAATGTTCCAGGTCTGGCTTACGCTCTGTGGGCCCTGGGACCAGACAGTACCTGTGGCCAGATGAGAGCTGGAATCGAACCAGAGACAACTTATCGTCACACACTCTGCTGCCTTCAGTTAGGACCAATCATACCCATTAACTTTTTACTGAATCAGAGGCCTAATCAGAGGCCTTAAAAACTCCGTCTGTAGCTATAATCTTTTAATAAACCAGGAAAAGCTGAAATCAAATCTACATAACTCTCAAACGTCAGCACTAAAACTAAACCATAACAAATGATGTTGTTGGCCCCAAACATGAACTGAACTGAGTCCATTTAGTAGGAATTCCTGCAAAGAAGGGCAGTATCTCAAAAGAAGTCAGTACCTTCTTACACATACCTCTAGCTCATATTAGCTGCTACAAGCTTGGATAACCAACATAACCAATCCTTTAAGACCCCAGTGAAAAATCGGAGAGAAATGGAGATAAGGGCCCGAAGGCCAGGGGTCAAGGAGAATAAAGTGAGGGAGGAACTAGCAGGCAGAAGGTCAGTAGCAAGTGATATCTCTTCCCTGGATATCATTTTCTCCCTCTGGGCCACACACCAGTGTGAGCCGAGGGTCTATCTGGTGGAGAAGAGAAGAATCTTGGACTTTCTTCTTGTCTGGCTTGGCACACATTGAGGGGAGTTACCTCTCTAAGTCTCAGTGAAATTTCCTCTTTGAATAACAGGAAGAAGCAAATCTACTCAGTGCTCAGTGGAAGGGGATCCTGTGATCACTCCCAGCACTGTAAGACTTTGAGTCCATCAGGAGTGAAACTGGGACTAACATTAACACTGACCAGTGAGGTCCAGAGGAAAGCAAATTTAGTTGATGGAGAAAATACCTCAGGCACAACTAAGGGAGATATGAGATTCAACATTGTCCTCCATCCTTGCATGACAGATTGGCTACGAAGGAGAGCTGACAGGAAGTCCCAAAACAAAGGTGGGATTGATTGGGGGTAGGGGGGAGCTTAAGCTCAAGGCTTCGTGCTTTTCCTGAACTTTTTCACTTAGGGTTGATGCTCTACCATTTGAGTCACAGCTCTATTTCTGACTTTTTACTGGTTAATTGGAGAAGAGAATTTCATAGATTTGCCTGCCCAGGTTCTCTTTGAACTGTGATCTTTAGATCTCAGCCTCCTGAGTAGCTAGGATTACAGGCATGAGACACCAGCACCTGGCCAAAAGTGGGATTTTGAAAAGCTAACCAATTAGATCTCTATTCTGTGGTGTCCCACGAAGTGACGGGTCTCTTCAGTGTTTGTGATTCCATCACCAGGGGCAAGTTCCAATGCCACAAGGACAAGACTAAATTGAATAGGCCACAGATCCAATCCTAATGACAGCATTAGCAGACCAGACCACACTGTGAAGATCTCAATATGCAGACAGCAGAGATGATCAGAGAAAGGACAGAAGAAGGAGGGGACAGGGCCATGGGGAAGGAGGTCACCTAAGCATGTTTTTGTAGCTGGGCTCTTCCTCTCCTAGCATGGTTTGATCTCAGTGGACATGCAAAAAGAAACTACCAGGAACATTTTGTTTGGACAAAGATCAGAAGATAGGTCACATAAGTATAGTCTGCTACAGATGAGGTAACAGTCTACTGAGGCCTGCAAAGACAGAATTGTGCCTACACTATTGTGTAAGGAGATTAACATAAGCTCTAAGAATTCCTGCTTATAAAGACACTGGACTACACAATGGGCAACCACAATGGACTGGAATCTCCTTTGGGAGAAGGACAAAACCTTTTGCTTCATAGTTAGACATGGTCCTGCTAGAAGGCAAGGGATCTACTTGACAAATTTTGAAAGGATAATTGTTCTCCTAATGGATTTATTAATAGTTACGACTTACATAGCTTT